TATTAAGTAAAATATAATTAAATTCGTTTAACTTAGCCCTAAATATAATAATATAAAGATATTTAAATCCTAATTCGTTAATAAGATTAAAAACTTAGGCTTTAGTTTTATTAAAAAGTCTTATTTAATTATATAAAAATATAATAATAAAGAAAAAAAAGAGATTTTTATATAATTATTAATAATTTAAAAACTAGTTAATAATTAATTCTCGCGTTAGCCCTAACCCTATTTTAAAATAATTATATTATTTAATTACGAGATATTATCTAAGTATATACTTAATTAAGTTAACCCCTTTATTATAAGATCTTTATTTAATTACTAACTCGAATTTATTATTTATATTTTGAAAATATAGTTTTATATATTATATAATTATTATATAACTTTATAAAATCTAGTACTTATTAATAAATAATATATAATAAATATTATTTTAAAAATATTTTAAATAATAATATTTATTTTTAACTTATATTTACTAATTTTAATATAAGAAAGCGGATTATTTAGTATTATTAAAATATAAATTAATAATATAATTAGTTTATTAAATAAGACTTTTTATTAAAAGAAAAGACTAAGCTTAAGTATACTAAACTACTAGCTAAACTAAAGTAATATTTCTTAGTTAATAAGCTATTTATTTTTAATAATAGAATTATTTTATTAAAAAGTAGTAATATAATATTTAAATAGAAAAACTAAAAAAAGAAGTTAAAATAAGTCGACCTCTTAATATTAAATATAAAATAATAATTTATTAAGTAATAAGCTCGAGGTACTTATATTATATTAATTTATTAATTAGAAAAAGTTTTTAATATATTATTTATTATTTAATATTAAGTAAATCCGTTATTTATTAATTATATTACTCTAAATTAATATATTAAATAATAAATAAATTATTTAAACTAAGGCCTTATATTTATATTATTAAACTTAACTATAGCTAAATCTTTTTATTTTTATAAATAAGTTATTTATAAATAATATTAATTATATTTTATAACTAAGTTATACTATTATTTTTATAACTAAATAATAAACTAATAAAAGTTTTATAATTTATAGTAATATTATTTATTATAGTTTTATAAAAAATAAAAGAATTATTTAAAGTATATTAATATTAAAAATTTATAAAATAGTTATAAGCGCTAATATTATTTATATTATTTTAATTATATTAAACCTTATTATTAAATAACTTAACGTTTTAAAGACCTTTATTATAATTTATATAAACTCGTACTTATTATATAAATACTTTATTAAACTAAGTATTATAAAAAAAAAAGCGCTTTATAATTAATATTATAATACTTTAATAATTATATAAATAATACGAGCTTTATAAGATTTATTAAATTAATAATAATAATAACCTAACTAATAAGTTTATAAAAAGTATATTAAATAAGTTTTTTAAGTAGTTTATTAATAAAAAACTATTATATTTAAAATAAAAAGATAAGTAATACGTAATTAAAATAATAATATATTATAATAATAAGTTATTTAATAAATATATATACTTTTTAAGCTTTAATTTAAAAAGAAATATACGTATTTAGGGCATAATTAAATTAATAAAAAGTTCTTTTTTAATTATACTAAATTTATTAATTTCTAAAGAGTTTAGATAATTAAATTATATAAGTTAGAGGATTATAAAATAATTCAAAAGATAAGATATTAAAATTTTTATACGTATTTTATAATAAAAACTATATTAAATTTTAGTATATAGTTTTTAATTTTTTAAAATAAAAAATTAATAGTAAGTTCTATAGTTATATTATTAGTTTAAATATTAGCCCTTATTTACTTTTTTTTATTATAAAAATAAAAAATTATTAATATTAAATTATAAAAATAAAAAAGTAGATTTAAATAAGTAAATAAATAAGTAAATAAATAAGTAATTAAGGTTTATATTAATAGACCCTTTTATTTATTTATATTTATAAAAAATCGTAGGTTTTATTTACGAACTTCTTCTTTTTTATATACTTAATAGATAATTCGTTATTATTAACCTCGTCGCGACCAAAAGGTCTGACCTGCTTTATGTGTATACTGATAATTACTTAGACGTGGGATATCTGATTCTGAACGCTGCTTTGCATAGTTCTAACTTATGCGTGGCTGATGAGACTTTTTCTAGTGGTTGCCTCGAAAGTTGTTCGACATCGAGTAGCAGAAAAGCTAGCATATTGTGAAAATTAATTTCTGCGATAACATCCGTTAGTAGCTTGAGTTGATCTACGCGACTCACTTGATATTTGATAACAACATGCAGCTTCCGGAGCCTTTCGTCAGTGGCTTGACTAGAAAAGGTAATAGTCTTTTCAGGGCTCACATGAACATTGAAAATGGAATTCTTGCTCTAAAGACCTGGGCGGGCATTCTATTGCGATTTCTTTAAGCCATGAGTAGGAGACTGATCTAGTCATGGGAATCTCCGAAACCCAATATTGTTGAAGAATCGTGTCCCGTAGACATGAGTTCCAGGTCACGGCTTCATGAATCGGTAAGGATATCGGAGGAGCAATACTATTTGATGGCAGTCTCGGACAACCTCACGTTTGTCATACTATCCAGCTGTGGTGGAACGGGAAGCAAATTCCTAGCGCCCGTCTCGATGTAACGTAGTGGAAAGTGGTTCGAAATGGTATTCGAATGCATGTCATTGACAACGTGCGTATTGGTGAAAAACATGGAATCATGACCCAAACGAGGGCGGCAGCTGCACGACTGTCAGCCTCATGGCCGTCCCTAGCATTCGGCTCTGAGGACCAAAGATCTGTCACATCCCGCTGTCTCACTTCACTCAGATGGGTACCTAAGTCCAGGCTTTCAAGCGTGGGTTCTGGATGTCGTTGCTGGTGATTGGTATATTGGGCAGCGGATTACGGCGTCGTAGACCCGCATGAGAACCTAGAGGCAAAGTGTCAAAGTTCTTCCATCAGGTGGCCATGATGCAAATGCGCGGGGCTCCCCTGTGGTTGTGTGTCAAAGGGGGGGGAGGCAGGATTTAACCTTAAAAGCGACCATGCCGGTTGGTCTCAATCAGGTGAGAATAGGTACATGGTTGGATGCAAGAGGCATGCATAACAGTGCCTTTATTTTCGTTCAGAGACGGGGTCGTGGAGATGACGCCCATGCGAAAGAATCAAGTTTCATCTACGATCCGTAGAGAGCAAACTAAAAACACCACGGACAGGAAAGGTTCTTCGGGAGAGAAGACTTGGCTTCCTTTCAAGAAGATGTTGACGTGTCTTTGTGTCAAGTTACTCAACCGAACAACTACCATCTGGCCTTCATGGGCTAGAAGGAGGGGGGCTGGTGTCCATACCCAGGACAGTACATATCACGTGAGTGAAGAATTCCGAGTCTTCGGGAAAGGGATGGTCCGGATGGAAGGGGGCGGGCGACGAGGATCATAGAGAGCGGGGGGGGGCTGAATAGTCCAGGGGAAGGGAAAGAGGCACAAGCACAAAGTGAGATACTGCTACGACTGGGAAGGCGGGATTGGAGTGGAGAATAAGGTTGAGAGTGAGTCTGTGAGAGAGCGAGACTTGAGAGTGAAACTGACTGAAGCCTGGAGGACAGGAATAGGGGAAGAAGAACAGAGGAACCAGTATCCGTACGTACTACGTACCTTGGCTACCGCCACGAAGCCAAGAGGTAAGGTAGTGACCGTACCTATCTACCTAAGGAAGGTACGGAGTACATGCCTTGGATACACAAGGCACGGAGTACCTTACCTTAGGGCCTGAAGGTACCTAAGGTACCTTAAGGTAGGGTAGGGAAGGTGGAAAGGTGCCTCCATGCTTCAAGTTGCAGTTGCATGCACCGTGTGACAACGGCAGGAAGCCGCAAATTAGCCGTTGAGCGGACCTGGCCGAAATGGACCGAATTGGGGGAGCCAATGAGCAGTCGCTTTCGTCAGCAGAATGGGTGGCTTGTAACCGCTCGGCCTTTGATTGGGGGAAATCCCTGACCTTACGACCGAGAATGGATCTCTTTGGTGTACGTACCTCGTGTAGAGGAGCGGAGAGATGGAGAAGGACGCGTCCAGACCGCCCGTGAGCCGTCATGCCACGCTATATTATCCATCCGTCCATCAATATTCAATGGTCAGTCCCCATCATCCATGTCATTGTGTTTCCTGTCAGCTAGCCGCCAAACAAGGCACAAGACTGCTTGCTCTGTACGGATACGGAGAGCCAGTAATAATACAGACTGGAGTTACGGCTCACAGGCTACGCAAACTGAAGCACATTTTGGACAGATACATGCCCGTAGCCGCTGTCTTCTACCGTCCATGATCTATCCGAAAGAGCACCGGCCAATGTCCAAGCTAAATGCCAACTGGCGGTGGTGGTAGTGGTGGTGTTGGTGATTGATGGTGCTCCGCCCCTCGTCACAGTCTCCGGCCCTAGTCTATCTTCGAGCCCACATTCGACAAGCCCATGTCTCCGTCTATTGCTCCAGTCCAGTCCAGCCCAGTCCAGTCCTGGCAACTGGTTACCGCTGAGGAAAGACACCTGGAGAGGAGAGCGAGAAGGAACAAGAGAGAAGGAGAGGAGAGGAGACTGGACTTGAAGAGGAGGCGAGGCGAGGCGAAGCCAAGCGAGCGCAGCCAGGCTCAGGCGAAAGGAGTGAGTGGGCGCTTAGCTTACGGATGCCTTAGCTCAATTATTGTACGGAGTAATACATACGGGTACGAATACAGCAAGGCAATTATCGTTGCTTTGCTCTGCTCTGCTCTGCTTTGCTTTGCTTTGCTTTGCTTCGCTCTGCTCTGCCTTTGCTTCGCCTTGCTAGGAAGAGGCTGAAAGTTGGAGCCTCCTCCACGTGTCAAAAGCCATCCCGTCTCGTCTCCGCCCCCTTGGGTTTCCCCTTACTCGCCCGCTCGCGCACCCGGCGGAAGTGTGCAGTGTGTGGACGCGGACGTGGACTGTTGGAACTGGAAGTGAGACACGATGCGGATGCCCGCCAACGCCAACGCCAACGCCAACGCCAACGCCGTTGCCGTTGCCGTCACCGTCGCAGCCGACAACCGGCCGGTCGTTACCGCTGCTGGTGGTGCTTCTCCTGCTGCTGTTGTTGTTTCTTCACCCTCAGAGACTCTTCAGCCTCCTCCTCCTCCTCCGCCTCCACTTCCTCCGCCCTCAGTCCCGTCCATGTCGTTGTCGCTGGCTCGCCCGTCGCGCCATGACACCGCCCATGCTTCCGGCCGCCTCGAACCTTATTCCTTCTCTGTCAACCATCCGCCGCCGCCGACCTACTACCGCCGCTTGGCTGCCGGTCCAGCTCCCGCTCCGCCGCCAAACGTGTCTTCGGTTTCCACGCCGGGTCCTCCCGCTGCAGCCGCTGCAGCCGCTGCAGCCTCCCGTCACGACGCGCTCAGATTTCCTCCATCGCCCTCGCCAACACCCTCGCATCCCACCACCTTCGGCGTCCTCGGCGGCAGCAACCACGACAGGAATCACAGTAATCACAGTAACTCAAGCTTCGTTAGCAACGCCAGCCATGGCTATGCCACTCTTACCCCGCGTTCCGACCCCAAGCCCAGCCGCTGTTCCGTCATGGACCTTCAGAACGTGCTGTGCGACCCGGATGACGATGTGAACATGGCCTCGTCGCGCTCGAGTCACCCCCCTACGCCCCCCCATCTTGCTGATGTACTCAAACCTCCCGCCTCGAGTTCCATGCCCGCCTCTCCAACCTCGGATTCCTTAGAGACCCCGACGTTTGTGGCTCGTCCGAATCCCTCTCACGTTGTCATGACTACGAGGCCTCAATTGCAGACCTCTCAACCCCAGCACGCGGAGCCTGGCTGCAAGACCTGTCAAATACGTAAGATGCCTTGTGATGAGGGGCGTCCCTCATGTAAGTTTGTACCTCGCTGAATTAGTCGCGTCTATTTGTCGATCAATGGCTTTCGTGGTCTGAGTCTCCGTCTGACAAGCTCGACAGGCCAGAACTGCTCACGCATGGGCATCCATTGCTTGGGCTATCTTTCTCCGAGTCATGCCAGCACCCAACAGGCGTCGGACCGTTCCGTGCCCAGCGTTAGTGCCAACGCCAGACGCCAGGATCAGGAAGAGTATCTCTTCTTCCTCCTAGATCATTACCGACACACCAAACGCCACTGCATGTGGGAACTCATCACCCTCGATTTCAATGAGCATTTTTCATGTAACATGCGTAAGGAGGCTCTACAGATGATCAAACGCCGAAGATTAAAGGACAAGGAGTAAGTCGTTCATGATTACTCGTGTTTCTGTACGGGCGCCTACATGTAGCTAACATGATTCTCAGTACTCGGGAAGCTTCACCAAATGATGCCTTGGGGAATGCGCAACGTCCCAAGGTTAAGAGAGGCCGCCGACCGAAATCTAGCGGCCCCTCTCTCCAGTCAAATGGGGATGGGCACGGCAGCGAGTCTACCGCCGGGTGAAACAACAAGACAGCTCATTCTCGTGCCATCATCTACATTGAATTGCCTATCTCGCCTCTCCTCTTGGCCTCTATCTGCTCTGAGCCAGTCGGTCAATGCGCCGAGTTGAGTGGCCTACCTGGCGGTTGTCGGCCGGCCAGCTAAGACGCCCGGTTAACGGATCTAGATGGGTTCCATTCAGACATGATCTATCACAAGCCGAGCGCTGCAAAAAGAAGGCTCTCGACACCTGAAGACTAGTCTTAGCTGGATCCAAGATCAAGGTAGCAGCCTGGTACGGTTATCCAGTCTCTGCAAGTTCTGGTCCGACAACCTGACTATAAGGACTCGGTCAAGGCAGCATGAGGGACAGATCTTGCCACTCCGTCGACTCTAATATTCGTTATCCTCCATCATCCACTTGGCTCATAAGGCGTCCCACGACGCTGCCTCTCTGAAGGTGCCAGAAACATTCAGGCGATGGCCAGTTGCAAGATCAAGGGAGCTCTCAAGACTGCTCTAGGCGCATCGAATCTAGTTTTGTGTTCGTACGCCAAATATTCGCAATGTACGGCAATGTTCTCAAGGTATCACCGAGACTCGAAGCCAATGTCTGCTGGTAGCTAGCTGTAAGGTCTGGTCCCCATGGATTCAGAGATCTATCTGGATACTCCACATCTAGAGGATAGCAGAAGACATGATGCAGACTTGGCTTAGCATTTGTTCAACCCAAGCCAGTACATGTTGATATGCGCCAGGGTTCGGAGACGACAATTGCGATATCGACCTCGGCCGGTCATCGCATTTCACTGTCAATTCTCATGCAATGCCTGCTTAGATCACGGATGACTGTGGAGAGCACGTGGGCCCAGCTGTTTGGGGTTTTGACTGTCCAAATGATATCACCAACACATGGAGGACCTCTCACTCGCCAATCCAGCAAGCCTTGAGCCGATTTCGAGTCATACAAACTTCGCTCGCACCCTACCTTCTTTCATTGTACATACCTATGAGAAAACAGTTCTTCGGACATCCCAGCCGGGTTGGTGCGCCATAGTGGCTGCTGGCTACTGACGGGAGACTGCAGCCTACGATTTTGAATGCCTCTCCAGTCACAGCACTCATGTATGGGATCGACAGTATGTTGTCGAATTTCTCAAGTGGGGCTACTTTTGCCCCCAAGACTTCTCGTACAGGGCAAGGGCCAATGGCTTCGACAATGATGCCTCACTTTGGTGAATAATGGTCTCCCTTCCACCTTGTGGAGAGTTTGACGCATGGGAGTTCGGGCAACAGTAGAACCTCACACAAGAGAGCATAAACATATAGTAATGCGATTACAATTAGGTGCCAAGTTCATCACTACCTTATAGTAGGCTAGATTAACAAGTTAGATTGGCAGCTTAGATGAGGAGCTCACACAATAGTGTGCACATTAATAAGCTTGACTTTTGATGCGGCCATCAGGCGGTCGCCCCAGAGAAGTATTACTAAACCAGAGATCATGCAGTTGTCTGTGTGTGCCGCGTGCACTCCATTTTGCATTTTGTCAATTCCCATGGTGAGGAGTCCAAACACTACTCTCGCTTGCTCTTTATCACGAGTGGATCTTACTAGATAATAACCTGACAAGGGTGGCCGTTGAGAAGCACTCAATCGCTTCACTCCCTTCCTTTCCTTCTTTTTTTTTAGAATCTGCCGCTCCCTTGGCTCTGTTATAAACTCATGGAAACTGGCGAGAGATTTTGTTGTCTTAGTGTCAAAAAAAAATGGAGTATTTGCTTAGTCTCGCGTGCTTTGGAAGCATAATAAGCTGTCATGTTTGCACTCCTGAATATGCTGTAGCGCACCGACCAGCCTTTTGAACCACGCCAGGCAATGTCGGCATTGCTTCAGCCAGAAGTGATGTACTCTATTATAGACCTTGAACTTGATGCGGCTGTCAGTCATATTGGAAGATGGCTAGAAACTAGCTGGGACTTTTTTGTAATACTTCACCAAACGGGACATGCAGTCAATACCCAACAGCGCCATGGATGGAGAAGCAAAACAGATAAATCTTTGATCATTTCACTGTGCACTCAAAACGAATACGACCGATCAGGTTGTAGCTTCGGAAAGCGTGTGAAGCAATCAGTTTAAGCATCGCTTTCGATATACTAGCGATAATAAGATTTCTAACAAATCTCAAAAGTTTTTCGGTTTCATCGCCGAACTTCATAGAAATAATGAGCTAGAATCCTGAAAGCTTAGCTACATAGAGTAGGGACCCGACTTAATACAATAACACTGCGTACGTTTCTTATCAAGATAGTCACTAATAATTGGTTGCACAGGTCCCATTATACCTAGAACATGGAGCCGCTCATCTCATCTCATCTTATACTATTTTCTAGCACTTATATTTCAGGCTCATGGCTTCTTCTATTATCTTGTACAAAGACATAGAACACCGATAGGAGGGAAATCGGGGCACCCAGCACACCGATCAACTACCTGAGTAGGCTACCGCAGTCTGACTGTTGGAACAAGCACTTGATTTCATGCCTTTCAATTGTAGCCCGACTACATTATGACCATTGCTCAGGAGATACAGCTGGCGGCATATGGCGGCATGTAGAATGCCAGTTCGCCATTTACAATCATGGTGAAGGATCTCATCGAGATCTTGAGATCGTCTCGTGGACCTGATTTGACATGTTTCCGGCTTCTTCGACTGATCTCCTGAAGTTCGGTCAAGAGAAGGTGCGGGGTAATTATTACGGAATCGATTCTCGTGCGGGGGGGTTCCCTTGAATTCTTGATGTCGGTCTTACTCAACCTCCCTTTTTAGGACTAGCCTGGCTGGCGTGGGATTTCAACGTCCTGCATGCTACTCCGTAGGGTCTCGTCGAAAAGGGCGAGTGGCGTTGAGTCCCCAGGAACATCGGGCGGGCATGAAGCCGTCCAACACAGTGTCTCCCCAAACAACTGATTCGATAGAAGAACTGGCCACTTGAGCAACAGTTGATGAGACTTCTTATGTCTAAGATCCTACAAGTGACTCATTTCTACCTTGCCTCTGCATGGCTTAGCCTCAATAATGCTTCAGTTGAGCAACCTAATCCACAATGGTTCCCCGCAAGCCCCGGCCCTATCGACCTAAGATACGAGGTAAGTACTTCTTCCAGATTCGCTGTCTTATGATGCCATATCTAGCTTCTTGAAACTAATCGATATCGGCGGCAGGTTGCTACGAATGCTCGAAGCGCCGAATCAGCTGCGATCGCGCGGAGCCTAAATGTGAGAAATGCTCCAAAAAAGGGTTAAAGTGCAGCGGTCTAGGGGTTCGACATCGATTCAGCGATGGGGCGGCTTCACGAGGCTTTTGGAGAGGCAAAACCGTTCAGCAAGCCTACGAACAGTGAGTGCAGACACGAAATGTCGTTGGCTGGGAATTTTGAGAAGTAACCACTCAAAAGACCAAGAGACCACGAACGAGGTTACCATGGTGTACAAACCTGGCGCATAACAAAGAAAATGCAGTGCTCACCGACTTCAGGACCGCCCGGCATAGCACAAGGTCTGGGACCAGCTACCGTCTACTCTGGATTATTTCCACTAGCTAACACTTTGCGTGATATCAGCTGAGCCAGCTCACATAGAGTCCGGCGGTGCTACTATTACGTCCTCTGGACGGCATGAAAACACCGTTTGTAATATCATCCTCGAGAGTTTAAATAGGCCCGCTACCATGTGGTCTGAGATGGTCACCCACTGTTTCACTTGTCAACCAACCCCAAGCAACTTACCTTCTTGGGAAACTCATTTGCTGTCGTATTGTAATATTATATTCTCTCTGCACACTACAACGCGCTGCTAACATCCATATCTGTAGTCTCAGCCCACATTGCGGTAGAAATGGTGGCCGCGGACGGTCACCATAACGGCTGGCGCCACCTTGTTCTGCCTATCGCTCATATGGATCCCTTAGTCTTGAAATCCGTGCTCGCCGTGGCTTCGTTTCATTTAAGCAATCAAAGACGTACCGCCGAGTCTGGATGTAAGACGCATCAGGTCACAAGGTTAAGGCTACACAACATGCCGGTGGTCCCGATGCAGCTATACGCAACGGCTATTCAGGATCTAGGAAGACGACGTGACCTCGAAGCCGACAATCATTTGATTAAGATTCGCACATTAGTCGTCATACTTGTCCTACTTGTTTCCGCCATGGTGACCGGATCGGATGACTTCCCAATGTTGTTTCGTCTGCTAGAATCTGCGCTGGCAACTATTGGTGGAGAAGACAGTTTGGGAGACGATGAGCTTTCAGCCTTTGTAATGCGCCAGGTTTACAAGTAAGTGACTTAGATTCGATTGTCTTGTGGTAAGATAAGGAGACCAGGTGCTTGGTGGCACAGCCGGAAGCTGCCCTCTACGACGGTGAACTAATATGTGGTCTGATAGGTTACGCGTATATTCAGCTCCTCTTCTGAGCGAGAATAGTGGCATTTTGACTCTATCTTCCAAAAATCAAGTCACTAGAGCATTCGAATGCATGGAATACTGCTCGCAGCAGCGACCAGAGTGTTCGGAGACAGTATCGCGCATTATGAATCTAGTGCAGCAGTCGTACGACATTTATCTCCACCGAGCAGGTGCTGATGTGAGGATATCACAGTCTACAGCTATCGGTCTTGATAATCACATAAACAAATTGGTCGAGAGAGTACAGTTTTTTATCGAAACTTTCCAATCATTCCCTGCTAACTCATCAGGAAGAGAAGTGTTGATCTGGGCATTCTTTGTGGCAGCATCAGGATGCACGACGGATGAGCA